TTGTTCGAAAGAAAAACGAGAAATGGGAAGTGGGACTGGCTCCTATGGAGAATGGCAGGCTGGGGGGGGTCACACTACAGGGTTGGTCATCAATTTGGGCGGCGCCACAAAATAGCACATCTGAGGGAGCGGCCGGTCTTCTGCAGATAATGTTAGAAGGCCATATTAAAGAAAGTTTATCACCGGGAGCACATGCAATAGCCTCAATTACAACGGGTCCCAACAAAATAGCACAGCGAGACGTTTTCATACGTTACGACCCCATCAAGGAGGCAGGCCTAAGGTGGCACACCCATGCCCAACTTCTGAATCTGCAGACAACCAAAATAGGGCACAACGACACATGGACTGAACAGGATGTTCAAAAATGTTTATGCGCCCTCCTCAGGCTGGGAACGGTTGACTGGGACTGGGATCAGCTGGTGTGGGTTCGTTGCTAAGCAACAACTACATGATACGTAAGTACCAAACAGAATATGAACAATTCAGGCAAGATGGACCCGGCCAGGGCGGTGTATGGGAGGGACCATATATGGAACCAATGTAGACGAGCAGCAGACCTGGACCTCAAGTCCCTAAATGTAAATGGCCTGGCCTCATGCAAATCAGAAAAACAAAATGCAATTTGAGACTTAATGAGAGGGGTGGGAGGTAGGAACTGGCCAGACATAGTGTGTGTGCAGGAAACACACCTGATGGACACCCCGGAACATAACCGTACCCACAAAATGATCTAGCCATACAAGTCTTTCAGGGCTCATGCCCCGAAACCGGGCAATGCAGGGGTAGCCATCTGGATTCCCCCCGAGTCCAGGGCGGACCCGGTGCACTAGGTGTGGATCAGGAGGGGGGTCGATGGGTGTCCATCCTGGTCATGCTGGAAATTGAAATTTTATGCATATTGTGTGTCTACGCCCCCAACACTGTAAGTGAGAGGAGAACCTTTTTTTAGAATCTCAAGATGCAAATTCCAGATGGGGTCCCGACCATTATAGCAGGGGACTGCAATGCAGCCCCGGATCATCGGATGGACAGATGGCGGACGCCGTCCCCCGCCCCGGCATATGTGGAAGACGACGAGCGGATTATTCACGAGCTATGTCTGTCGCTAAAGGTTTTCGACTCCTACCGGAGGCTGAACCTGGACACTCGGTTCTACTCGTGCCTACGGAAGACTGGTACTAAGGGTCAGTCGAGGTCTCGGATAGACTTAATTCTGATCTCGGAAGATATGGCAGGATTGCTGTTCCTAGCAGCAATCTTACCCGCTAGTCCCTGTCTAGGCCTTGACCATAAAATGTGTACGGTTATTTTGTCGTTCCAACAGAAACCTGACCATGGACCTGGTCTTAAAACAAAACACCTTTCAAAATTATATTAAGGACTGTTGGGCATTCTGGCACACACAACGGCAACAAATTCAGCAGGCTATAGACTGGTTCAACAACAGACTGTTTTATCTGGGTAAAAAATGTCAAGAATATTCCAAACTCATAGCTGCTGAAAAACATCAACAGGAAATGGAAGTGCGCCAACAACTGCAGCAACTGGAACACCAAGATCACACACTGCACACACAGCCAGAAGATTGTTGAGAGGTTCAAAGGCTATAACAGCGACTCGAGACCTTTGCCACACAACGTTGGGAAGAAGTACGAATAAGAGGAAGGTTGACAAAGTCACTAATTGACGCATGTCCAGTGGGACAATGCGCAGGGAGCCAAGGATCCGCTATGTGATGAAAAGGACTGAATGGACAATGAGAGGTCAGCGCAGCATCAACAAGCAATGTACATTCCGGATACATACAAGATGGCGCAAAATGGCACAGCGGAAGGGTTGAAGAGAAGATCTGATCTGATCTGGACTGACCCGACATCCATCACACATCATACATGTGGGAGAGGGAGGAGGGACCGCACACATGGAAGAAAGGTCCCTCCTGCGCACACATACATGGAGAGATACCACGGATGAGAGATGGGGGAGGGACGAGATGAGGAGGAAGGAGGCGAGGGAGTAAACCAAGATCGCAATAGCGGAGTCCAAAAAATAGTCCCTTGCCGAGTGTCCAATCAATGTCTGTCCCAGAAATGTCGAATCAGATTCTGGGCAATGCGCCCAGCATAACCTCTGCCTAAATCCCTACTGATAACCTCTCACACTCTCAGATTCGAAGAAGAAGAGA